TGACGTTGACTATCTAAAGGAGACTGATTCCTCCACGCCGTCAAGTCAATAGACAAGATGCCAAAATAAAAAAAACTAACCGCTGGACACACTCCACGCGCGCATGAAGACACCAAAATCCAGCCGTACACGCACCTAACTTGGGAAAGTGAAAGAACATCCTGCTCGGAAATTTCCACTCCCACTAACCCAATGAAGTTCGGAGTCTCCGCCTCAGATATAACATAATCGTGCCGTCTCTTTCATTTTGAATTCCGGCGATCGGTTGGGCTATTCACCGACGAAATCTCGAGGTCCGTTATTTTTCCTTCTGTTAAATCCATTTAATCTCAAATATTTTTCTTTTATATTTTGGATTTTTTTTGTTCGTGTTCGTTAAATGGTGGAATCGTTATGCAAGATTCAGATGAACTGTCGTGATTAATTCTGTTTTTCTTTTATGTTTTGGATTTTATTTATTTATTTATTTATTTGTGTTAGTTAAATTGTGGAATCGTTATGCAAGATTCAGATGAACTATATTGATTGATTCCGTTTTTTGATGCGTCATTTCTTATATGAGATTTGGTGATCGATGTTTGAATCTGTTCATCTATACAATTTGAATGAATTTCAGAGGATTCTATGCATAAAATTGAATGAATTTCAGATGATTCTTTGCTTGAAATATGTTTCATTTTTTTATGTTATTGGTTGTCTAGACAGCATTCTCAAGTGTATTTTTACATGTTTGTGGTTGATTTAGGTTCTCAATGGCAAGTGGGATTGGGGAATCAGCAAGCAGACCTCCCCACGGTCCCTCTTGCTCTAGCAACAGTGGTAATGGTGAGGCTGGTGATTTCGAATGCAATATCTGCTTTGAGTTGGCTCAAGACCCAATTGTGACTTTATGTGGTCATCTTTTCTGCTGGCCATGCCTTTACAAGTGGATTCATATTCATTCTCATTCTCAAGAATGCCCTGTTTGTAAGGCCCTTATTGAGGAGGAGAAGCTGGTACCTTTGTATGGAAGGGGGAAGTCATCAACTGACCCTAGATCAAAATCCATACCAGGTGTTAATATTCCTAATCGTCCATCTGGACAGAGACCTGAAACTGCCCCTCCCCCTGAACCAAACTATTTTCCTCAGAGTGGATTTGGATTCACAGGAGGGTTTGGAGGTCTTGCACCAGCAGCAACTGCACGGTTTGGGAATTTTACACTACCTGCAGCTTTTGGAGGTTTCATACCATCGTTTAACCTACAGGCGCATGGATTTCCTGATGCTACTATGTTTCGTGCAGCCACTGGGGTTCCATTCGGCTTTTCAAATTCATATCACAATGGTCATGCCCATGTGCTTCATCGTCGTCGCTATTATCACACTGGTCAAGGCCAGCAGGATTACTATTTGAAGATGATTTTTTCAGTTGTTGTTTTTTGTGTTCTTCTTGCATTGTTTTTGCAATAGATAAAATCTGCTATCAAGGCTTATATTGCTAATGGTAATGGATGTTAGGATGGTGGGTGAGTGTCAAATCACTCTTCTGCAAATCTCTTGCTGAATTTTGTGTTTTCTGTTTTGTAATTGAGGGAATGGGAATTGTCCATATCATACTTTCAGTAATTTTAAGCTCCTTGGATGTTTGCCTCAACTTGTTCTGTAACTTATTGTTTCCGTTACTAAGATGTAAAACCATATGCATTCTCTTTTAGTCTTTTATACAGTTCAAAGGTTTATTATTGTGCTGGTGTAGAATCAGCAGTGGTGATCACATGTTCTTTGCCACAGCTCTGCAGGGGAGCTAAGCATGTCTATTTGTGAGTTTTTACTTAAACCACTGAACTGGCTCCACTTGCAGACCAATCAATGCAGGTCCAATGAACTTTCTGTCACCATTGATTATGTGGCTGTTGAGCTTTTTGTATGTTAGTATAATTCCAAGTTTAGTTATGTCTTAGGTGAATTTGTTTCTGTAAACAATGCTGTGGGTTTGACTAAATATTTGGATAGAATAGCTGCATCGTATTTTATTGTTCTTAATGTTTTGCTCTACTTTAAAGGCTAAGAAATATTAATTGAGTGTGCTCTTTGTTATACCTTCATCATAGTTTTGTCTGTTCTGAGGAATACCTCTTTTACATCCTGGGCTGCATTGTTTTAAGGCTCAGTGCAAGTTTCTGCATGGCTGTTAAGCGTTACTGTGTAATCATGCAAATTCTCAAGTCTGGTGCTTGAGTTGAAGCTTTGGTATTAAGGATTGTTTGGTTAGTACAGTGCCTTGCAGGGAAGTTTCTGTCTGTTTCAGGAAGTAATTTCAGAATGGATTCTTTGCTCTAGGATGGACTTTTTGCCATTGTTTGTCCTTGTACACTGATAAATGTTTGTACATGTCTATGTTGTCATTCTGATTGTTTAGCTGCCAGATGAGGTTGCTCAAGTTTTCAAGTCTCTGCAGTAGTTGACCATTCTATTATGAAGGTGACAAGCATTTTTGAGGTTGTTATTGTTATCTTAGGAATCTAGGTTCATGGTGCATACATTTGTCATCTCTCCAAGAAGAAATCCTCTTCTCAACTTTATTTAGGTCTTCTTTTATATATTTATTTTTCTTTTCAACCAGAATGCAGAAAGAAATATTTGTTTGTTCAGATTCAGAATGCTTGTGACTCTTAGTTTGATTTTTCCCTCAATACAGTTACAGGTTTCTTAATCACACAAGACTGATACTGATGTCCACCATAGATAGCTTTTCAACTTCTGCCTTTTTGCATGGGATATGTTTTCGAAGCGTGAGTTCTTGTTATGTGTTTCTCTCGATGATTATGTGTGGTCCTGAGAATAGCTTTCCAACTGGGACGCTGATTACACCCCCAAGCAATCTGATCCACTGGTTTCTAGATACTTGGATTCCTTGGTTCACGATTTGGGGAATAGTCAAATGTCCCGCTGCGTAAAGTGATTTCATTTTCATCGTAGTGATGTAATGCTATGGTTTCTGTCGCATGTCATAAGGTGTAACACTGAGATATTAGGAGTAGTTTCTTTTATTTGGAAGTAAAAGGTTCTTTTTTTCTTCTTTTTTTTTGGTTTTGGGAACTGGTAATTTAGTAGAATTGAATCCCATTGTGAAATTCATTTGTGAATTCTTGCTGAGTTATTGAGATGTAAATAAAGCTACAATAAAATAATTAGAAGCTTCGATGGAGGTGCATGTGGTCTGCCTACTTCTAGGATTCCGGTTTGGTGTTTTGTGAGTTTTGTCTGAAAGAGCGGAATGATCGTATGATTCCTACCTACTGCTACTTCAGTAAATAAATAATTTAACTCGAGGAACATGAAATTAAAAAACATGGGAAACATTGAAGTTGTTCAAAAACTTTTTGCGACCGTCCCGTAGTTCAGATCTGACCAGAAGTGCACCGACGGGAGGAAGATTGTAGATGCAGACTGAAAGGAAGACTCGTATGGAAGGGGAGAAAAGGGAAAAAGCATGAGCAGTGTCATTGAAGTTTGACTCTTATGGGCCAAACACGTTTGTGGGGGTCTCACATATGTCGGTGGCTTTGGAAACTGGCAATGTTATGAGCTTCCATTGTTAGGAAATAAGGAAGCCTCTGAGCTCACCACTGTATCTTCTTTGTTTTCCCGTTCAATTCCATTATTGCAGTGACATTGTACAATTGTACCCTGTATTGTTGTTTCATTACATCATTCATCCATGCATCTCTGCTTTTAGGGCATGTCACAGTGATGAGTTGATCACACGTCATAATGATGCAAACTTTTGGAATACTTCACTTACCATCAACATTTTCTTTCGGGAACTTAATAATGCCATTTGGTTGATTGTATGCTTAACGAAGTTTAAATAACGCTTAATATATATTTTCATTTTTCAAACATCATGTTCAACTTGAAAAAATCAACCTGCTAGGTTAATTGGTATATATATATATATTTTACTCTTATTTTTAAGGTGAAATTTTACACTGGTATATGATGATGGGCTAATAAGTCATATGAACATCCCTTGAAATAGCATAAAACTTTGGAGAACAGATTTTAAATTTCTGTAAGGTAGTATGTACACATTATGAGATTGAGCCAGAGTATCCTTGGCACCAAAGCATGCTTGTTAGGTTGCCTCAACATAGTTTTCCAACACTGATAGTTCAACATATTTTAGAGAAATTTCTTCCGACGAGAATTCATCAACAACAACCAACCAATTCTACTTCAATAAAGTCTATTTTTCCTCTTCAATTTATGGAATAAAGCTAAAGATAATCCCCAATATCTCCCCCACATGAACAATTCACTCCATTTTCTTTTCCATGTTTTGTCACCATTTCATTCCACACTCTTACAAAAATGAAAAAGCATAAAGAAACAATCTTCACTTTCAATCCCCATTTCAATTTATAATTTTATATCCCACCATA